ATAAATCACAGCAAGATCCTTTTTGACCCACCTCCTAGAGAAATGGAAATAAAAATTAAATAAACAAATGGGACCTAATGAAACTTAAAACTTTTGCAAGCAAAGGAAACCATAAATAAGACGAAAAGAGAACCTTCAGAATGGGAGAAAATATTTGCAAACGAAGCAGCTGACAAAGGATTAATCTCCAAAATATACAAACAGCACATGCAGTTCAGTATCAAAAAAACAAACAACCCAATGCAAACATGGGCAGAAGACCTAAAGAGACATTTCTCCAAAGAAGATATACAGATTGCCAACAAACACATGAAAGGATGCTCAACATCACTAATCATTAGAGAAATGCAAATCAAAACCACAATGAGGTATCACCTCTCACTGGTCAGAATGACCATCATCAAAAAATCTACAAACAAATGCTGGAGAGGATGTGGAGAAAATGGAACCCTCTTGCACTGTTAGTGGGAATGTGAATTGGTACAGCCACTATGGAGAACAGTATGGAGGTTCCTTAAAAAACTACAAATAGAACTACCATATGGCCCAGCAATCCCACTACTGGGCATATACCCTGAGAAAACCAAAATTCAAAAAGAGTCATGTACCACAATGTTCATTGCAGCTCTATTTACAGTAACTAGGAGATGTAAGCAACCTAAGTGTCCATAGACAGATGAATGGATAAAGAAGATGTGGCACATATATACAATAGAATATTACTCAGCCATAAAAGGAAACAAAATTGAGTTATTTGTAATTCAGTGGATGGGCCTAGAGTCTGTCATACAGAGTGAAGTATGTCAGAAATAGGAAAACAAATACCATATGGTAACACATATATATGGAATCTTAAAAAAAAAAAATGGTTCTTATGAACCTAGGAGCAAGACAGGAATAAAGATGGAGATGTAGAGAATGGACTTGAGGACATGGAGAGTGGAAGTGTAAGCTGGGACAAAGTGAGAGAGTGGCATAGACGTATATACACTACCAAATGTAAAATAGGTAGCTAGTGGGAAGCAGCAGCATAGCATAGGGAGATCAGCTCGGTGCTTTGTGTCCACCTAGAGGGGTGGGATAGGGAGGGTGGGAGGGAGACACCAGAGAGTGGTTTACGGGGATATATGTATACGTATAGCTGATTCCCTTTAGTTTTACAGCAGAAACTAATACAACATTGTAAAGCAATTATAGTGCAATAAAGATGTTAAAAAAAATTACATGAGGCCATGCTGGATACTAATTGTTTCATGCATTGTTTGCCTTAACCAAAAATAAACACAGGCAAACATGAATACCATTGCCTGATGAATGAACCTTGGGCCTGATTTTTCAGAAATGTAAAGAGGGCAATTTTAGATATTGTGATTTAACAACCATGAAGAATCAGAAGTAAAAATTGTCATGAATGTCCTTGGAGAAAGATAAATGTTGGAGAGTTTTCTGCTAGAACACTGGTCAGTGAGATCCCTTTATCAGCAGTCTTGCCATTATCTGGGAATTTGTTAAAAATGCAAATTCTTGTATTGACCTCATGCCTTCTGAATCTAGTTTTCTTAGAATAAGACAGATCAAAATGTGTTTATATAAAAGGCTCCCTTGTATTTCTTACACGCTCTAAGTCTGAGAACCACTGAGCTAGCACAACATGGGGAAAGAATAAGTAAGGACTGTGTGTGTGTGTCTGCAGGTACTACATTGTGCATAGAAATACCATGTAAGTAATATAGTAATTGGATATTATCAAAGATAATGACATCTACACATACCAGACAGTATGAAATCTAGAGTCAAACAGGTTCTCAGTAATTCAGTTTCTTTTTCTCACAGCCAGTATATTTTGATGCTGGATACTGATTCTGGCAGAGTGAAGACGGGCTTTATTATGTCTCCTCAGAGTGGGGATGCTAGCGTGTTGATTAGCCTGTGGGCAGTGAAATCACACTGCCTGGGTTTAACTCCCGACTCTCCCACTTACTATCTGCATGACATCACACCAATTACTTAATATCTCTTTGCCTTTTTGCTGATTTGTAAAATGGAGAAATCAGTGATACTTACAGGTTTGTGGTGAGGATTAAACACATGAATACTTTTAAAGTAGTACCTGAAATGTATTTGAAAAGTAATAAAATTTTAATATTAGGTCTTATTTGTATGGATTCATTGCTAGAAATAATAGTGTACGTATTCTTAAATAGAATTACATGAAGAGAGTCTATGTCCTACTTCTCTGTATTCCCTAAAAATATCTAAAAATTCAAATTAATTTGCATGGGAACCTATAGAGTGATAGTTTGGCATTTTTCTTTAGTACATGTATTTCCTATAATCCTAGAATCCATTTTTCCTTTTGTCCAAATGGCATTTTCCCATGTTCTGTCTGTCATTGGCACAGTCTCCTAATTTTGAAGCAGAACTTTATCTTAACCACACAGATGTTCTTTGCTAGTTTTCTGGAGTTTAACAATGTGCCTGACACTCCATTTTCCTGACAATTTGGTGAAATCCCTTTATGTCTTTGTATGCAGGTTCTATGCTTCAGAGGGAGCTCTTTTACCCATGTTTTGAAATGGGACATCCCTGTCAGTCACTGCAGCCTATTGTATTTTTCTAAGACTTGCACATTGATCCTTAATCTGTGTCCCCTGAAAGGCTGCTATTTTTCACTATTTCATTTGACTTGCTAAGTTTATGGTTCCAATTAAAGGATTCTGGGTCACAGTTATAGCAGTTGAACACTGTCATCCGAAAGATCACAAATTTCATACACCAGTCTACTCAGTCTTATCCACATAACATCAATTACAACAGTCCTATAAGTGTCTAACAGATTTTGACATTTATGTCTTTATTGGCAATAATCTTAAGGGGGCCTATCCTTATATTTGAAGCATGAAGGTACTTAAAAGTTACAATCTCTGATGCTAGCATTCGGAGACTTTGAATGCCCAAATCTGTTAGCTTCTTGAATGGTCCCAATGCTTTATAGATGCTTTTAAAGTACCTTCAAATAGTTGAGCTGGAATTAGGTGAATCCTATAGTTAAGCAATCCCGTGGATGCCGATGGGAGAGGAAATTGAAGGTCTTTCAGATTAAAAGTTCAAATTGTGATGATTGCACCTTTTAGCCTCCAAACTGGCTTTACCTTGATCTCCCTAAGCCTGTTCAGTTCATCATATTGAAAAGATTGTGACATTTTCTAAATCACCTGGGGGGAGTATTCCATTTCAATTCAGTGACTAAGTCTTTCCCTGAGCCTACAGTAGTATCCTGCTGCGTTTAGTCCTTTAATGTGGAAGTAATTCTTATGTTTATAAAGTTTTGTGGCTTTTAAATTCCATAAGGAAGCCTCACACTTTAATATGAGATACGCTAAAAAAAAATTATTCACTGTACCTCAACTGGTCTAAAGGAAAAGCTTATCAAAGGTAGGGAAATGCTAGCCAGAGCCACTTTAAACATCAGTAAAGAGACATCACTGAAAATAAAATCACACAAAATAACCTTTTGATGTTGGGAATTTTGAATTGAGATGCCAAATCTGAATCTTCATTTTTCACAAATAACATTTTTATAATTTCAAAAATTATATGTAGGGCTTCCCTGGTGGCACAGTGGTTGAGAGTCCGCCTGCCGATGCAGGGGACACGGGTTCGTGCCCCAGTCCGGGAAGATCCCACATGCTGCGGAGCGGCTGGGCCCGTGAGCCATGGCCGCTGAGCCTGCGCGGCCGGAGCCTGTGCTCCGCAACGGGAGAGGCCACAACAGTGAGAGGCCCGCGTACCGCAAAAAAAAAAAAAAAAAGTTGTATGTACTCTTGGGAAGAGATTTTTAAAATATTAAAAACAATAGACAGAAAGTACCTTCAGTTGAATACAACCATAACTCTATACATCTTTTCCAGACTTATTCTATACATGCACACATGAATTTAAATAAAATCAGTTCTCTGAATTTAGCATTACCTTATAAATTTTGTCCAAGCCATTATATTTTTGAATTGTTTTTTAATATTTTATAGATGAACTACAATATTGAATTTCCTTATTTTTATTAACATTAATTTTGGGTTTTCTGGAACTATAAATCAATTATAAAGTCATGAATATCTTTGTAAGTAAATCTTGGCCCATAATTTTTGTTACTGCCTTAGGCTAAATTCCTAAGAATAAAACTGATGGTTAATGATATTAAACATTTAAATATAATGCCAATATTTCCTCCAGAAAGACCATACCAATTTTTGCCCTCAACTTTGGCAACAATGAGATTTACAAGTTAAAAAAATAAAAAACTTTTGACCAAAAAAGATAAGTTAAAAATGACCTCATTCTAAATTTCATTTACTGTTTCACTGGAGAAAAAAAAAAAAATCATGTTTTTTCTTTTTTTTGGATTTGCCTGTTACTTATCTTTAACATTTCTATGTCATTTTTACAAATGCTGGAAAGTAGAATTCTGCTTCTAGTTTTAGTAATTAACATCTTTAATACAAAGTTTTTAAAAGAGAAGACTTTATTTAGCTTTTATAGATATTTTATATCTGAAATAGAACTTCTAGTAAAACATGACATGTCCTCTACCATTTCTTTACTAATTTGTCCGAAGCTAGAACACTTTTTTCTCTTTTGTTTATTGCCTATCTCCTGCCACTCTAATGAGGGTAGGCAGAGATTTGTGTGTCTTGCTCTCTGAAATCCCTCTAGAGCTACAACCAAGCCTGACATGGTAACTACACAATAAATAGTTGTTGGATGTTTAATGAAAAATTCCTTGACCAGAAAGTTCCTCAAATATGAGATAGTTATGCTCTCAACATTCACTCATAAACCTTTTGCATAGTGTGGTCTTTAGACCTGGGGGTAGCCCACAAAAACCTGATGGCTCGTAACATACCTGGAGACCTGGCCCCTAGCCCGGGCTGCTGCCACGAAGACAAGGCCAGCACAGGTAAAGCTTAGAAGGCCAGGAATACCTTGTCCCTCTCCACAACCTGCCCTCCCAGTAACCCCATGAGAGAAGGGCCTCCTAGCTTCTCTCAAAGACAGGAAGAAAATAAATTTTCAAGAGACAACGGAGAGTGGAAAGAGCATTTTCAGGAACAGGAATGGAGGCTGCTTTAGGGAGAGGACCAGAGTGCTCCAGGGATGGAACATTCTGTTATGCCTTTCCCGTGGGCGTGTTGTGGCCTCTGCCTCCTCCCTGGCCACACGGCACCCTGTGCCCCCGGAGACCAGCTGGCCCACCCCGACCGTCAGCTGCCTCCGGCCTGAGCCCCAGCTGAAACCATGCACCTCAGATTGGGACTTGAACCCACGTGCCCGGGCTCGAACCCAGCCTAAACCCACAGTCTTCCAACTGAGATCACACACCTGGTTTCAGAACTTAATGAAACTCAGGTTCTTGATGTCTCATCATAGAGAGAACTCAGTGAGAGACAAAGTGATCGGTAAGAAGTGGATTTATTTAGAGAGAAACAGTCCACAGACAGATTGTGGGCCATCTCAGAAGGTGAGAAAGGCCTAGAAAACACTTTTAAACCCTCTCTGCTCATACTGAAGTTTATACCTGTTAGAAAACTTGAGAGCTGTAAGACCAATAGCAAAGAAGAAACTCACTATGCTTGGAATAATTTTAGATGAAGGGTGTGAGATCTTCCTCTTACTGCTTGTTGTAGTGTCATAAAAGTAGTTAACTAAAAATATTGCTATTTTGACCTGCCTTCTTCTTGAGAATGTTTATGTGATGTGTTGGTCTAGTTTTTATCCCACTCCCTGTAAGAACTATCTATAACCGTTATATTTCTGGGCTTTGTCTTACCCTACTATGCAAAACAAGTCATGAATTCATAGAAGTCAAATCTTGGAACAGCCATCCTCACCTGTTGTCTAGGCTCCTGTATATTTTTTTTTCTTTTTTTTTTGGCTGCGTAGGGTCTTAGCTGCGGCACGTGGGATCTTGGTTGAGGCATGCAGGATCTTTTGTTGAAGCGCATGGGCTCTTCATTGTGGTGCTCAGGCTTCTCTCTAGTTGTGGTGTGCAGGTTTTCTCTCTCTAGTTGTGGTGTGCAGGCTCCAGAGTGTGTGGGCACCGTAGTTTGCGGCACGTGAGCTCTCTCGTTGAGATGTACAAGTTCAGTAGTTGTGGCGCGTGGGCTTAGTTGCCCTGCAGCATGTGGGATCTTAGTTCCCTGACCAGGGATCGAACCCATGTCCCCTGCATTGGAAAGAGGGTTATTTACCACTGGACCACCAGGGAAGTCCTAGCTCCTGTAAATTATTGACTCTCTAACCACAGGTGGGAACAGATACTTCTATCTACTCTGTAACATCCAGTTGTTAGTTTTTAACTCCGTGGAAATTTCACCATATCAATTAGGCATAATCCTCTAATTAATTATTGTTAGTGGCTGCATAATATCCACCAGAGTATATGTTCCATTGTTTGTTTAATCATGTTTTTTATCAACAATAATTTACTTATTTTTTTCTATTATAAATAGGTTGCAGTAAATACAAATATTCTCATATATATAAATGTAGGTATCATATCATTATGGGATTGATTTTATGATATATGGTGTACACAGTTACATTGAGTTGTAGTAGAAGTTATCAAATTGCTTTCCCAAAATTATGTAATGATTCATACTTCTGACATGTTATGTAATGTTATCGAGTTACTTTCCCAAAATTATGTAATGATTCATACTTTTGACATGGTACATAAACACAGACATTTTATTCAGATCCCTGACAAAAATAAATGTTGTCTATTTCATGTTTGCCAATCTACTAAGTATAAAATGATATCCCACTTTTACTTTAATTTGCATTTCTCTGATTGCTGAAAATGTTGGGCATTTTGTTATGTTATATTGTTCATTTTGAATTCTGTCCTGGGATTTGTCTTTTCATGTATGTTTTACCTGTTTTCTCTGAGATAAATTTGAGTTTTTCTTCGTGATTTCTAAATGCCCTTTTTATAACCATCACTTATCTGTCATTTGTGTTATAATATTTTCTAATATTTGTTTAACCTATCTTTAAATTTTTTTTCAAAGGCTGTGTTTAGTATTTTTCAAGTAGGTCAGATTGTTTTGGTCTCATTTTTATCTAATGGTGAATTTATCACTATTGAAATTCCAGTTTCAGCTTTTTTTTAATTAAATATTTTAGTTCAGACTTCAACTTATCATTGTAAGTTTTATCTTTTCTGATTTTCCTCAACTAACTTTAAAAGGAAGTTCAAAAGCCAAATAATCTTTATATCCACAATATTGATAGTTTTATTAAAAAAAAAGAAAAGTGTGTTCTTTGCTTAGTCCTAGATATAATTTTGAATTACTAGTTTGTATTGTTTGAAACAATTTCTAGAGAAAATCAACAAAACCAAAGATTGTTCTTTGATGTTATCAAAAAATTATAAGATCTCTAGTGAGACACACCAAGAAATAAAGAAAGAAGACTCAAGTACTTAAATCTAAATTGATACAGGATTATCACTACTGATCTCACATAAATTAAAAAAAAGATTGAGATGATACTATAAACAATTGTATGCCAAAAACTTAAATAACCTAGATTAAATGGACACATTGTTAAAAGAAACAAACTACCAAAACTGACCTAGAACATATCCAAAGTCAGAATAGACCTATGACAAGAAAAGAAATTGAGTTAGTAATCAAAAACTTCCCACAAGGCAAGCTTAGCCCCAGACGACTTCACTTGTGAATTCTACCACACACATGAAGAACAAGTTACAGCACAAATTATTTCAAAGAAAATAAAGAGGAGGGAACACTCCTAACTCATTCTGTGAGATCAATATTACTAAGAAAAATAAGCAAAGATGTCACAGGAAAAGGCAACTTCAGTCAGATATCCATTATGAGGAGAGATACAAAATCCTCAGCCAAATTTTAACAAACCAGCAACATATAAAATGGATTATGCATTATGACCAGTAGGAATTTTGCCAGCAATGCAAGTTTGGTTTAACATAAAGTAAACTTATGGAATAAACCATATTAATAAAATAAATGGTAAAACACATGATCATTTAATGCAGAAAAAGCATTTGACAAAGTGCAACACTTACATGGTAAAAACACTAAACAAACTAGGAACACAAGGGAACTTTCTCAGTCGGATAGAGGTCAACTGTGAAAAACCCTCAGCTAACATACTCAATGGTGAAAGACTGAATGTTTTCTCTGAAAGATCAAGAACAGGATAAAAATTGAACTGGAAGTTCTAGTTAAGGAAATAAAGCAAGAAAAATAAGTGAAAGACCTCCAGGTTTCAAAGGAAGAAATAAAATTATATTTTCAGGTAGCATGTCTATATCAATTTTTCTTTGATATAGAAAAATTAATATAGTTAAGATGAAAATAGTCCATAAATTAATCTACACAGTCAGTGTAGCCTGGTGAGCCAGGAGTGTAATGATGATATTGACAGTGGTGGGAACACAGAGAAAATAATGAGCTTGGCTATAGACATGTTAAGTTTTAAGTGTCAGCAGGATATTCAAGTAGAAATATCTTGCAGACAGCCAAACATGAGGGCTTGGAGAACATACGGTGATTTAATCCCCTTTTGCAGATTTGTATGTGTTACTTTCATCTTTTAAATTTTATTTCCCTTGGTGATTTGGCCATGTGATTTCTTTACTAGAGTCCCTTCTGACTTTTTATTACTTCATTTTATAAATATCTGGATACATTTCAAGTTGCCCTTTATTTCAGTAACATTCCATTATTTTCTCATATTTCTTGGAAAACATTGAGATTATTTTATTCATTTCCCTCTCAGTTTTATTTTGAAACACTTACTGTGATACTGCTAATATTTAGCAAGATGTGTTAGGTCTACAGGCACGCACACACACATACTTACATACAAACTACTAGTTCAGGAGAGTTTCCATGTTTTCAATTATTTGTCAAGAGCTTTCCCATATCTCCCCTTGTGTTTTTGACATACTTTTGGCTTGATTGATTTATGTAAACATTTAATTAAATGATGTTATTTAAAAAGTGCTGTGAAAGCTCTGGGAGGCTCAAGAGACCCTTCTCAAGTACAGGATGATGACTAACATGCTCCTAGAACTTCATCAATTTAAATCAAGTTCTTTTACAGTTCCAACACCAGTATAGTTCACAATAGTCTAACCTCATTTCTACACAAAAGTGTGAATAAAGGACCCAAAAATATGTTTTGTGACAATAGAATAGAAACATGGGATCACTGAACATGTGAGTGGAGGATATGCCAAAATAGAAATTAAAAATTGAGAAATTTGGTTGCATTAAATTTTAATAATTGCCTAATTTGTCATTATTCGTAAGCTTTAGCAAAGTTTGCAGGGCAGGGAAAGCCTCTCTGTCCACCTGTTCTTATCAAAGAGGAAGAGAACTAACAGGATGTATCATTTTCTAGGGCTTTAGACCACATTTGTTAGCTGGTCTTTTTCATTCCTCTAAGTTACTCAAATGGATATACAAATCTTTTCATTCTAAGGAACCTATTTTATTGAAGTTAAATCATCCACTACTATAATTTCCTATTCAAAAGTAAAATCTTTGGATGAGCAGAACTATACTTTTCTAATATTATATATCATTCAGATATATAATATTTGTACCAGGAGCTATATTTTTGAATATCCACAGCCTTCCACATGAACAACTAGTAGATGTTAAACAATTTATACCATAAACCTACCACAAACCAAGAAAAATTGATAGTTAAAGCATTTTACTGAGGATTTCTCTGTAAAATATTGATGATCTGACTTTGGTAAAAAAAAAATTCCAAGTAATATTTTTCCTCTTGAGGGGTATTTGCCCATTTCAGTTGTGAAAGAGCTTCATTTAATACCAGTAAGATTCATCATGATCCCAGCTTTTCAAACTGATAATCAGGAGGGCCTGGTTTCAAAGAATAATGCAAGAAAGGTTTTCACATAGATTCTGCATATGTTTCTACTTATTCTACCTACAATGCAATAATAATATTGTGACTCAACAATGCTTTGATGGCTTTGTTCTCTGATCACACACTTTTCTTTCTTGAAAGACAGACATCAGATATCAACTTTCATACAAGAAAAATTTTGGAGGCATAGATTATGCCAGTATCGTTCTGAGGCTTTAGCAATGGAGAAACCATCAGTCACCACCTGACTATGATATCTTAAGTTGGCTATTCTAGGGGCTCTGGACATTTTAAAGATTCTTGAGAAGCTTTAAAGAAAAATAATTTCTGCCTTCAAAAAAAACTATAAAAATATCTAGGGAGTGACAAACATTCAAAAATATAATGATTAGATAGTGGTGTGGGTGACACAGGTGTTTTCATTCACCAGAGCTAATCAGACTGCACATGTCAGGTCTGTGCATTTCACGTTATGTAAACTACATTTTAATGAAAATAAGAAATATATTTACATTTTCATGACTTATCTGTCCCATCAAAGGAATTTGCAGCATATTTTGTTAGATTCATTTTCTCTTAGCTCTGTTAAAATAACTTCAGCAGGGGTTTCTCTGGTGGTCCAGCGGTTAAGACTCTGTGCTCCCAGTGCAGGGGGCCTGGGTTCAATCCCTGGTCAGGGAACTAGACCCCGCATGCCACAGCTAAAGACCTGGTGCAGCCAAATAAATAAATAAGTAAATATTTAAAGATAAATAAATAAAATAACTTCAGCAATAGATACTTGTCATTGAAAAGGTTGACCTGATAAATACTATTGTTTGTGTGATATGAAAGTGATTACACCAAAAAGTGCTGTATGACATATTTAGATAGGCCAACAATAAGCCATGCCAAAACATAGCGTTTAGAGAATTTAAAAAAATACTACTAACATCTCATGATTATTTATTAAGCTAACTCTGTATGGAAGATATTCAGATAACTTTTCCTACTTGAATTATTTAGCCAACTGCTGTAAAATGCATGTGAATATAATTACAAATCAGAACACAATTAGACAACATTAAGAAAGCATGTATGTAGGAGTTTACTGTATTTGCTCATTTTAGTGTTAGTACCACTATAAACAAAATGAAATTTCTGTGTAATACTATAAGATCCATAAATGGTATGAGACCAAGAAAAATATTTTGGTTTAGAAGTTTAGAAATATATTTGTTAAACATATTTATTAAGCATTTACTATATGACAGGCACTGTTTTAAACACTGGCAATCTGTCAACTAACAAAATACCTGTCATCATAAATCTTACATTATGTTGATGGAGAAATAAAAATATGTCTTTTGGTTCTGGTTCAGTTGACTTGGATGGTCTTATATCATATGTAGCTATATTTCCTAATACTAAATCCTATGTCTCTGAAGCTGAGGTACAAAGGAATATGATATGAAACTGTGTCCTGAGGTATACCCCACACATACATGAATAAATGGCACATGTGAAGGAAATTCTCAAGTGTGATGAACAGCTCGGGGACCACTGTAGAGAACAACATCACAAATGACTAGTAGCTAAAACACATCATGGAGTTGCTCTCAAAAACGGTAACAGAAGACATGACAGAAGCAGAGTTTGGGTAAAACAGAGAAATAACTTCATAGCCATTCAGCATCCAGCTAATAGACACCAGTAGGAACTCCAAGTAGAGATTGTGTCTCTCTACTAATAGGTCCCTCTGTGACTACACAGGGCACACATCCTGGGGAGTGAGGAATAGAGAGGAGTCACTAGTTCCGCTATCTACATGCCTTGCAGAGCTTCCTTGCTCCAAAAGTTTTCAAAACTTTCTTTTATACTTCTGGATATTGCTTTCCCTCAGGGAGAAAAGTACATCAGAACAAAAAGTTACTCTAGTTGTTTGAAATAACATTTCTTTAGGGAAGTGTAAGCCAACAATTCGATGAGAAGAGGGCAGGCGGTCACAACATTTGTGGGAAAAGAATATTCCATCTAGGGCTTCCCTGGTGGCGCAGTGGTTGAGAGGCCGCCTGCCGATGCAGGGGACACGGGTTCGTGCCCAGGTCTGGGAAGATCCCACATGCCGTGGAGCGGCTGGGCCCGTGAGCCATGGCCGCTGAGCCTGCGCGTCCGGAGCCTGTGCTCCACAACGGGAGAGGCCACAGCAGTGAGAGGCCCACGTACCGCAAAAAAAAAAATAAAAATAAAAAATAAAAATAAAAAGTGTTGTATTTTAAAAAAAAAAAAAAAGAATATTCCATCTAGTATCTAATGCTATACAAGAAGATTTTTGAAATGCATGATATTCTTTGAGTTATAGGTAAAAAAGCAAATAAAAAAGCATAACTAATAAAATGGACCCAACAGTGTTTATGTAAATATTTATCTAACATTGTATAATCATTGCCCAGACCTGAAATGATATTCACATGTCCAGAGGGCAATTGTCTGTCAAAGTTAAATATTTCCTATTTCCCCATCTTGTTTCAGTATCTTCCATGGCCTTCAAGGTAAATATATTGATGTATTGTGAAGAAATGTCAATAGGTACACATGTGACGTATCAGGATCTCTAAAAACTGGTTTTATTTCAGTTGAAAAGTCAAAAAGCAGATGGCACCTGAAAAAGGGGCATTTTGAAGATACACTGAACATAGAAACTTTCTGTTAAGTACTACTTTTCTTTTCAGAACTACCCAGAATTATATGCAGGATGCCAAACATAGAAATTTCTTCACATTTTGTGGTGAAATGGGTGATTGTCAGTAAAATGTCTGTGGCTACTTTCTTATACAGAACCAAACTAATTCTGTTTATTATTTCCCAACTCAGTTGTAAAATGCATATGTTGATATCTAAAAATTGAGATTCAATATGAAATGATCATAGGAGAAAAAGAGCAGTTGTCTTAAAAATACAGTCCCACCAACTACATGATAAATTCTCCCAGTGTTGATTTTTTCTTTTAACCTTAGAGTTAGCGTGTTGAGAATATTTTCTGTTATGTATATTTCTAGTTGTTCTAATAATGATGAGGCTTTCTGCTTTTTCATGCTTATGTAAGTTATTAATGTTTCAGAGGTGGACCTGTGATGTTTTCTGTCATTTATCTTCAGTACCTTCCATTCTATTGGGGCACAAGTTTTACATCTTACAAAGTATCTGTAACATTATAATAAATAAATAAATAAACAAATAAATAAATAACATGTTTGAGAATAAATTAGCATATCAAATTGCTTTTGAATTTAATTATTTTATTTATTCACAAACATATAAATATTTACTATGTACCTATTAATGCCAAGTGTTAATAAGCCAACTATTTACATGACAAAATACCATCTTCTAAGTCTCTATAATCTTGAAAAGGGAGATTAATTAACATAATATAATAGCATGAGGATATATGTCATTGTATACTGTTGGATTTAAGGAATGAGAAGTCATTTATTCGTATCTACCTGTGAATATTAAGGAAAAGTTTTTACAGCTTAGTCCTGAAAGTGAGAAACTATGACATATTGGAGCATATGCAGGCACAGGCACATGGAGAAATGTGAGCAAAGGAAATGCAAATATATAGTGGATGTTTTGGGAAACTGAGTTTTAAGAGTTCTATTTCTGTACCACAGAACATGAGAAGGATGAAAATAGAGATACATGCAGAGGTGGTTCATGAAAGTTTATATATGTTATGCTAGACATTAAGATGAAAGTCATATGATTAATATTTCAATTGATTATAGGGAATTGGAGGTAAAGCAGTATGATTTTAACGTAAAAACCATGACAAAAGATAGATCCAGAATATGGAACACTCACCGGGAAAGGCAAACTTTGTGAGGCTTTAGTCAAATAAGAGGTAAAGTCATCTAATAGAATAGAAAAAAGTGGGAAAAAAAAAGGATGAAAATCACTTTTTCTTATTTATATTGATGGGTTTGGAATTCTGAGACTTTTTATTTTATTTTTTTGCGGTACGCGGGCCTCTCACTTGCTGTGGCCTCTCTCGTTGTGGAGCACAGGCTCCGGACGCGCAGGCTCAGCGGCCATGGCTCATGGGCCCAGCCACTCCGTGGCATGTGGGATCTTCCTGAACCGGGGCACGAACCCGTGTCCCCTGCATCGGCAGGCAGACGCTCAACCACTGCGCCACCAGGGAAGCCCCTCTGAGACTTATTTTAAACGGAGGCTTAGATATGAGGGGATTTGGCTGTGACATCTGTCATTCAATTGCTCTCCAGGGTTGATTTGGCTGATTTGGCCGGCTAGGCAGCTGTCCCCTTCCTCACTACTGCGTATGTTTCTCCCATAGCTACAGTATGCTCTGTCGAAAAGGACAACGATTCCCGATGGAGGAGGATCATTCTTTAGTCATTTTTTAGGGTATACCAGTAGCCATGCTCTCCTTTCCTTTTAGAATCCCAAACAAGCTCTATAAGGTTCATTTGTAGGAGAACTTAGGGTAGTCAAGTTTCCAAACTCCAGGCACCTCCAAATGAGGTGCTACCTGTGGCTGTCTGCCTTTTTGGAAAAAAAAAAAAAAAGAGGCTTGCTCTAAAGAAGGATGTAGAACAAAGAGACTATTCAGGTATGAAGATAGCTTTTAGCTATGAATTCATTTTCTCTTTTGTGTGAAAAACATGAATCCAAAGGCGGTTTCTAGAATTTTCTAAGGTCCCACAGGGAATTAATGAGAGACTAAATAAATGCTAACCTTTCTAAAATAGTTCATAGTTACATTTCTTAAAAACAAAACATTGTTACATTATGTAACAGTTTTAAGACTATTTTTAGGACAGTTTTAGGATTAAACTAAATTGCAAGTGAGGTACAGAGCTTTCTCATATACCCCCTGCATAGCCTCCTCTATTACCAACATCACTCACCTGAATCGTACAGTTTTTACCAAGGGTGAACCTAATTGACACATCATAATCACACAAAGTCCATAGTTTATCTCAGAGTTTACTCTTGTTGTCATTCTATGAGTTTGAACAAATGTATAGTGACATATATCCATCATTATATCATACAGAATAATTTCACTGCCCTAAAAATCCTCTTCACTCTGCCTATTCATTTTTCCCCAACACCCAACCCCTAACAACCACGGATATTTTTTATCATCTCCATAGTTTTATCTTTCTAGAATGTCAGGTAGTTGGAATCATATAGTATGTAGCCTTTCAGATTAGCTTCTTTCACTTAGTAAATGTATTTAAGATTCCTCATACTTTCCATTACTTGATAGCTTGTTTTTTTAGTGTTAAAATCCCATTGTCTGGACGTGCCACAGTTTACAATGAATTTGAGTTCCAGTTGCTTCAAATCCTTACCACCATTGGGTGTGTCGGTGTTCTGGATATTGTCCATTCTAATAAGTATATATTGGTACCCCATTGTGCATTAATTTGCATTTCCCTAGTGATATGATGTGGAGCATCTTTTCATATACTTATTTGCCATCTGTACATCTTCTTTGGTGAAGTATCTGTTAAGGCATTTGGTCCATTTCCTAATCAGGTTGCATGTTTTCATACTGTGGAGTTTTAAGAGTTCTTTGCATGTTGTGTTAGAGGTCTTTATCAAATGTGTCTTTTGCAAATATTTTCTCCTAGACTATGTTTTGTCTTCTAATTCTCTTGATATTGTCTTTGCAGAGCAGAAGTTTTTTTCATTTTAAGGAAGTCCAATTTATCAATTATTTATTTAATTAATCTTTATTCATAGGTGACAGTACCACATAAGATGCCTGCATTTAGGACGTTAGCCTGTGTAAAAAGAAATCACCGTTGCCAAGGTCTTGTAAGTTTTCTTCTATATTATCTCCTAGGAATTTTATAGTTTTGCATTTCACATTTAGATCTCTGATACAGTTTAAATTAATTTTTGTGAAGGTGGTAAGGTGTGCATCTAGATTCATCTTTTCTGCACATGCGTTTGTGGTAGTTCCAGCATCATTTGTTGGAAAAACTGTCTTCATTCCATTGTATTGCCTTTGCTCCTTTGTCAAATATCAGTTGACTATATTTATGGGGGTCTACTTCTAGGCTCTCTGTTTTATTTCATTGATATATTTGTCTATTTTACCAATACTCACTGTCTTGATTACTGTAGCTTTATAGTAAGTCTTGAAATTGGGTAGCATCAGTCCTCCTTTTTTATTTCCTCTCAATATCATTGACTATTGTGTGTCTTTTGCCTCTCCATATAAATATTATTATCAGTTTGTCAATATTCACAAAATAACTTGCTGAGGTATTGACTAGGACTGCACTGAAACTATATATCAAGTTGGGAGGAACTGACCTCTTGCCTGTAATCCAGTTTTGATTATATGAAGGTTATTGTGATTCCCCAAATCATCCTGATTGTGATGAGACTCTTGTTCTGGTTCACATATTTAGCTAACAAATGTTTGAACATGTACCATAACATATACTCAGGAAGTAAAATGTAAACAGACCTATATATTCCTGTAATCCTGGAGTTTTATTTATTGTTAGAAGATAGCTATTGAAAAAAATGTTAAAAGATTGATAATTCTAGGAAAGAAAATAAATGGACAATATTAATTGCATGTATATCATCAGACTCTTAAATTCTCAGGTTTGCAACTGAATCCTTCATAGCAGTTTGGCCATTGTTCTTTGATATATGCTAATTGGACATTTGTAGATCTTCTTTGGAGAATTGCCTATTTAAATCTTTTGCCCATTTTTTACCAGGTAATTTGTCTTTTTATTGCTGATTTGTAAATATCCTTCATATATCCTGGAAAATAGACCCTTTCCAGATATATAATTTGTAAATACTGTTCCCATTCCACAACTTGCCTTTTTTTCTTTCTTAATAGTATCCTTTGAAGTACAAAAGTTTTCAATTTTGATGCCTTTCAATTTAATGATTTTTCTTGGTTTTCTTGTGCTTTAGGTTTCAAATCAAAGAAACTATTGCATAAAACAAGTTTATAAACATGTATTCCTATATTTTTCTAAGTTTTCTTTTTAATTTTAGTTTTTACATTTAGAAATATAATTCACTTTTACTTAATTTTGGTACTTAATGTGACATAAGGGTCTCAATTTATTCTTCTGTATGTGGATATCCAATTGTCCTAGCACCATTTCTTGAAAAGACTGCTCATTCCCCATTGCTTTACCTTGGGCACCTTTGATGAATATCAACTGACAATAAATGTAAGGGTTTATGTCTGGACTTTCAATTCTATTTCATTGATCTATGTTTTTATCTTTATTCTAATTTCTCACTGCATAAATTTTTTAGATCAATTTGGGGAGTATTTGCCATCTTAACAATATGAAATTTTCCAGTCATGTCTTCTCATTTATTTAGGTGTTCTTCAGTTTCTTTTGATGATATTTTGTAGTTTTAAGAATACAAAAGAATACAAGTTGCTGCTTAATTTGGTTCAACTATTCCTGAGCATTTTATTATTTTTAAAGCTATGATAATTGGAATTATTTTCTTAATTTTAATTTCAAGTTGTATATTGCTAATATATAGAAATACAAATGATTTTAGTATATTGGTCTTACATTCTGCAAAATTGCTGAACTTGTTAGCTCTGTTTTTGTAGATTTCTTAGTATTTTTTTTTCCTATTTATCAGCTTGGATAATCTCAATTAACCTATCTTCAAGTTCACTCTTTTCTTGTTTTCCTGCCTGCTCAAATCTTCTGTGAATCTAGTGCAGTTTTCATTGTAGTTATTAGACTTTTCAACCCCAGAATTTCTTTTTGGTTCATTTAAAAAAAATTAATTTCTATCCCTTTCTTGATATTCTTTATTTGATGAAGCACTATTCTGATACTTTGTTTTAGTTCAATAGACGTTTTGTTACGTCTTTGAAAGTATTTAAAATAACTGATTTAAAGTCTTTGTTTAATGGATTCAACACTGCATCTCCTCATGACAGTTCCTATGTAATACTTTTTTTTCTTATATATGGGCCATATTCTCTTGTTGTTTTTGCATGTCATGTAATTTTTGGCTGAAAACTGGACATTTTTATTTAGGTGAGGTGGCTACTCTTGACATCAACTCCTCCCCAAGGTTTTTGTTATTGCTGATTATTTTAGTTGTTTTTTTGTTTAGTGACTTTACTGTAATAATTCTGTCAAGTCTGTATTCTTTGTCATGTGTGTCTTCTGTAGTCTCTGTTTAGTTAATTTAGTGGTCAGCTAATGATAACACAGAAGGTTTCTTAACTGCCTGGAGCCAGTAAGTTTCCCAAACTTTGTGAACAAATTCTGTATGTATGGAGGTCATGCCTTCAATATTCACGCTGGCAGTTGACAGCTCTGCCTTAGACTTGACTTCTTACTCGATGTATATCCTAAAGCTTAGCTAGAGAGGAGAGACTAGGGCCTTCTCAGATTGTCCTCAGCTTGTGTACAGTCCTGGGTGGGCAAGATGCCCTCTGTGTGTATGTGTCGTTCTAGATTCCCATGAATATGTAGAGCTTCATGAAGCCTCTGTGAACACTTCATTACCCAGATTTTTCTTTACAGACTTTTGCTGTTGCTGTTGCTGTTGTTGTTAGTTAGTTATTTGCCCCAACTCTTATCTACAGTCTTAGGCTGTGACGTTTAACAGTTGCTTGTAATTATTTTTGACAAATACCCTTGGGAGAAAGGCTTTTCACATAGAGTGATCTCTAAGCCAAGTCAAATACAAACAGCCTTGCCAGTGGAGTCTTTCAGGAAACCACAAACAGATACAATAATGTCAGTTCTCTTGGAATGAGCGTTGAAGGAGCTCCAGCCTTAGTCTTTTCCCTCCAGTTCATGCAAGACTGCCAGTTTTCACCGTGAATGCAAGTTGTTAGTTTTCAAGGCTCACATACAGTTGGAGAATGGGGAATGGGACTAGAGCAAGTTAAAATACAATAAATCTCACAATTCTTATAAAGATTCAGTCATTTTTCTTGAATTAACATTCCTAGATTGTTGCAAGCCTTTGGTTAATTTCCAGAGTTCTGAGAAAGATGATTCTGATAATTCTTGCTAGTTTTCTTGTTGCTTTTATGGAGGAGGGAATTTTTAGAGATCCTTACTTCACCATTTTTTCTGACATACACAAAGTGGATACAGAGTATAGAATTTAGTTGTGACAGTTTGTATTTTTTCACTTAACGCACAATTTTGAAAAATTATATATACTTCTGTAATTAGTATAACTACAAAAACTACCTTATTCTGTGACAGTTGTTTTTATAAAATGTAATTCTGTTAGGTAAATAGTTATATACTTTGATTATATCATTTAATTTTATAATTTACTTATATAATTCTGGGCATTCAATCATGGTGAACTTTCCAGAATATATACTATATATACATATACTGCTTTTGTTTCTGGGACAGTTTACACACCACCTGAAGTTATCAGTTAACCCATTCCTTAATTCATTCATACATGCATGCATCTATCCATTCATATATTAATTTGAAAACTGTTTATTCAGTACTTGCTTTTTGTTAGCTTTACTAGAAGCACAGAAGGGAATGAGAAGCTTCGAATAGAATGATGAAAAAATTATATATATATATATATATATATATATAGATATATGACGAAAATTAGAAGGATCCTGAAAAATAGGCATACACTTGAATTCCTCTGTGTTATATTCTGATATGGAAGAAATAATAGGATACATGTGAATTGCTTGGTATATGAAACACCATCTTGAATAATCTGGTATAATTAATAACTGTATTGTCAAGTTACTATATTTATATGTGACTCATATTTATGTTATATTCTATTAATTTAGGGACAATCACTTTTCTCTTTGACCTATTTTATAGTTGAGATGTAATTGACATGTAACACTATATTAGTTTCAGGTATACAACATAATGATTCAATACACATATATATTGCAAAATAAATTTAGATGCTGCTAAATAATATTACCAAATTCCCAGGTACAATTGCTCATTTTTAAGAATGCCTCATACTGTAAAAGTATACATAT